AATTCCTTGTTGCTTATTCTTTCTGGCCTTCTCACCTGATCTTCAGTAACGAACCAGAGTAGGCATTTCTTGATGAATATCTGTAGTTTGTTGGAAATGTCTTTCGTAACTCGCCAAGTGTGTGAGCCATACAGAAGCACTGGTTGAAGTTGGTGTTGAAAATCCGCATTTTGTTCCACATGCTGAGTGTAGTAGATCTCCAAACCGGTTTCAGTTTAATGAAAGCCTGTCTTGCTTTTCCGATACTGACTCTTGTATCATCGTCTGTACCTGTGCCGCCTGTAGTTGAAACAGTGCTGCCTAGATAGGTGAAGGAGGCTACTTGTTTTAGGTTTCTCCCGTTGATGGTGATTGGTGTTTGTTCTTGTTGTTGGTTGGGTATCTTCATCACTTCCGTCTTCTCCACGTTCACTTGAAGTCCCGTCTTCGCTGCCCTGCCTCTTCCGTCAAATTGTTGATTTTCGCTTGTACATCTTCGAGTTTGTGTGACATTAGACATAAGTCGTCGGCGAAATCCAAATCTTCTAGGTTCTTTTCCGCGGTCCAGCGTATCCCCCTCTTCTCACTCCTCACTGTCTGTTGCATGATCCAGTCCAGTCCACTACAATCAGGAAGATCATGGGTGATGGTAGACAGCCTTGTTTTGCTCCTGTCTTCACTTCAAAAGCATCACTGAGCTTCCCATTGTGAATTACTTGGCATGTGGCACGTTTTATGCTTAGTTCCTTAAAATGTCAGACCATAAACTGTAGTTTTAGATGTGAACGTTATCTATGTGAAGTGGTTGGTTGTCATGATTCTTGTTCTATTGAGAAGTGTGTAATGGAGAATGTAAGAAGTGTGATTTATTTCTGTGTGTTTTTCTCCAGACCATTCCTGATCATCTCATATCTTACTAATTGCCAAGAGAATCTTCCACCCAACTGAATATATTAGGAAGCTGAAAGTATCTGGAATAACATATCGTCTTCTCATGTGTTTACCTATTCTCCTATGTTGTAGTCTTTGATTGTTTCCTGGGTTGGTGAAGAAGGACAATGTTGAGAATGTTGAGAAGAACTGTGAAGATTATGAGTGGAAGTAATGGTGTACTTGTGAACCTAGTAGTTAAGAGTAGTTGTGAGTAAACATCTTAACTCAGGTAAATACTTGCTTGACAGGAGTTATTTTATAAGATGAATAGTAGAATCTTTTTCACTTGAAGTTGTCTAGTTGTCGGTTATCTGGAAAGACAAGGAGCAAGTATATAAGACTTTATACACGTTCGATGAAGTGATTCACTGGACACTAAGAGAATGAGGTGTCAAAGAATAAAGCTGGAGAAGGACAAAGGATGTTGCAAATAACAGACTGGCTTAGTCTCCAGTATTCCCATCATACCATTGTCTTAAATGATTATACTTTATGGTGAAACGTAGTAACTTGAATTCAGAACCCATATATATATATATATATATATATATATATATATATATATATATATATACCCTTAAAGTTCCAGTCATAGATAAACCTTTTTCAGGTTATAGTTAATTAAAAAGAAAGCAGGGATAATCGATTTTCAATTGAGCACTTTTACTTATTTCTGTATAAAGTGCACAGACAGTTTAATATTATTTTAATCGAACTAGTCAAAAAACTCAAAATCTCTCTATTGATGACAATGATGGTGATAATGATGACAAAGGATTTCAGCTTGCTTATTGTTTAAGAGAAACATTTAGTAAGTTATACAGCTAAGTAGATAGTTCGACGTGTATTAAAGCCAACACTAAACTTACTTCATATAATTATTATTACTCATGATTTTAAATAAAGCAAGAAGAAGAAGAAGAAGAAGAAGAAGTTCCTGAGCTCGATTCCTGGTGGGGTTATGAGTGCTCACTATTAGAATGAAACACCTGTCTAATGCTCCTAAGTTTCCATTGTTCCTCTAAGTAATATCAGTCTATGATGAATATCAACTTGAAAGATCACTTAATCCCTATAAACTTACAAATTGAAACAATAGTATAAGAGAATTAGCATGGATATATTTCATGAATATTCGTAAGCTGCTTTACAATTTATAGAATAGTAATGTTTATAAGAAACAATATGTTATACAGTGTACTTTAATACATTGATAAAAGTTTTTCAAATTGAACTGAAAAGTAACAAAGATTTAAGTTGGTCAAAATTGATGAACTTGTTAAAACTTCTCAAAGATTCAATTTAGCTGTTTGTAGGGATTAATTTACTGATTTCAGTTTGATTATTATTATTATATTATTAGTCCCTTGGGTTCCTAGTGGAACATAGGGCTTCAGTAGCACGTCTCCAGTGACCTCTGTTCTCTGAGATCTTTTCAACCTGGTTCCACGACAGCCCAGAAGCTTTCATTTCCTCCTCACACGACCTCCTCCATGTCACCCTCGGATGTCCAACTCGTCGCTTCCCATGGGGATTCCACTCGAGTACCTGGCCTGACGCGTGATGTCCCCAGTCGGCCTTCTCAGTGCATGGCCAATCCATCTCCACTTCCTCCTGCATATTTGTTGGGTGATAGGTTCTTGGTTGGTTCGTTCCCAGAGTTCCTTGTTGCTTATTCTTTCTGGCAATCCATCTGATCTTCAGTAGCGAGCGTAAGCAGTTGTTGATGAATGTCTGTAGTTTATTGGAAATCCCTTTCGTGACGCGCCAAGTCTCTCAACCATACAAGAGCACTGACTTGACTGGGTTGGTGTTGAAAATCCGGATCTTGTTCCGCATGCTGAGTGCAGAAGATTTCAGTTTGATAATTACCGTGGATTGATATCAATTGGAGAAACACTGGAAATATAGTAGCACTGTAGACTACTGAATTCTGGCCTAGTGGGTGAATGGTTAATGCATTCACTGTGAAATCTGAACGTTCTGAGTTTGATCCGTAGCCGAGTTGAGGGTACGCATTGCTCAGGAGTTTTTTACTAAGAGGAAACAGCTGTCCAGTGCTCCCAAGTTTCTAATATTTCTATATTTCATGATGAATTCCTACCCGAAATCAATTAATAAATCTTCACAAACCTTCAGATAGAAGATGAAAACTGTTGATAGGTGAGAAATGCGAATATTGACTGTCCACTTGATGGATACATCGATATAGAGACGGTGATAAATAAGACAATGGTCATGCTGAAGGTGACAATAATAAACTAACTGAATATAATGAAATTGAAAAAGGTTTAGGAAAGTGTTAAGACCCTGGTAAGATAAGAGATTGAGCGTACACAGAGATCAGGTTTATTATTTTATTAATATATTATTCTTTGTCCCTTGAGTTCCTAGTGGAACATAGGGCTTTAGTAGAACTCCACCATTTCACTCTCTTCTCCGCACTCTTCTCTTTCAACCTGGCTCCACGACTCTCCACAAGCTTTCATTTCTCCCTTACACCATCTCCTACACGTCACTTTTGCTTCGGACGCCCAACTCGTCCTTTCCCATTTCGCTTCCACTACACGCTCGGGCCTGGTACGTGATGTACCCAAATGGTCTTCTCAACGTATGTCCCATCCAATCCATCTCCACTTTCTTCTTCTGCATATTAGTTGGGCGACGGGTTCTTGGTAGGTTCGTTGCCAGCCACAGTTCCTTATTGTTTATTCTTATTACTCTAGACAACTGATCTGATATGATCTGATCTAATCTTTAGTGTCAGTATCGAGTGAGCGTAGACGGCAGCTGTTCATGTGATGTATCTTGGTTGTATTGTGTTCTCTGATCTGGGTTGTTTAATCTTGAAGCTTTCATCGTCTTGCTAGACAGCGACATCATCAACATTAACTTCGGTATGAATCGAGCTGTCAATATTTCTCCGTGAGTGATTTAGTAGCTTGCCTTGACTATGTGGTCTGTGATTGGTTGTTTCCTTTGATTGTTGTGTCATTGACACAACAAGATCGCTGGCGGGGTCGTGGGTGCGCACTGCTGAGGAGTCCCGTACTAGGACGAAACAGCTGTCTAGTGCTCCCAGGTTTTCTTTGTTCTTCCAACTGATGTCAGTTTATGATGAATAACAACTTGAAATATTTCCAAATCCCCACAACTCCCTCAAAATCCAAATAAAATTATGTTGACTTTCAGGTATAGATGAAGTAGGTATATCTACATGTCAGTGAGATTCATTGTGAGCTATATTAACAACCAGCCTGAAAGTCTGAATTTCATCCCATAGGTCGAACTAACAGTCAGATTCTTGGTAGACTGATGCCATTTCTTACACTGGCTACTATTAGCGTATTCCCAGTGTAACTCTTCTCCAGCTAACGTCATGCATCGGGATAGACGGTAAGTAGGTATGCTTAACGCACGTACTAGCCACGTGAAGTGATAATGGTTTACAATCTTATCAACTGACTTTACTTCTTTATTTAAAACTACCTCTAACCCCTGCATTAATAAGATGGTGGCTCCATGTATTGATTGGTCACGGTAGTGCATGTTAGCCAGTCCTACAAGAGGTCAGTCGCGGCCCGAATAGCTCAGTGGTAAAGTCGCTAACTACAACACTGGGTGATGCTGCTTCGAATCTCAGGTGGGACGTCAGTTACGTCGAGGTTGCAGATACACCTTGCTGACAAGTGCCAAAAAGCACGAAACCTAGGTTGGGCAGGGCTTCCTACCGATTGCCTTCAGCCATCTAACATGGTGGCTCCATGATACTCAGACGGTGCTGTGGAGGTAAGGATGACTGGTCATCCGGTGCCTTCTTATCATCCTCACTTTCAGTTATCATATTTGACAGTCACAGAGTAGGATTTAGAGAAATCTTGCGTAGTATACTTGACCCTCAAAACGCCATTGAAATGCCATTGGAATCACAGATTGGCAAAAGCCAATTGACTCTTTGATCATAGTAGATGCCTTCTAAGAAATCTAAGCTTACTGAAGACTATGGAATACAGCCATTCAACTGATTATTACTACAATAATATTTATCTTCCCTATTAAAAAAATATTTTCTGTTCATCTAACTATAGTGTGACGATTTACAGGAGTGGGACGATTTAATACGCCAATCATGGGAGTCATTATCATCCAAAATACGTCAAGCTTATACAAAAATCAAGGTACGATATGTGTTAATGCTTGAAAGAAATATCTACTGTGGACCATTTAGCATTTACGTATTATTGGAAAGGTAAGATCTAGTAAAATTGTATTGTCTACTTTTTTGTAGTAAATAGAGTTTTGATCTGATTACCTTTGAAAAGTTTTGCTAATTCAGTCAATGTAGTGACCTGCTTGAACTTTAGGCTATTTGATTTTATTAGTATAATTGCTTTTACATGATACCGTCGTTGATTGGACTGAGTTTATCGGTATCTATTAGCATATGGGCTCCTGTGTGGATGCCTCAATATTGCCAGCAATCTGATTATGTTAAGGATGGATCGTGGTTAGAAGTGGAATCCAGGATGCGCATTTCGTCCTATTTGGGACTCGTCAGCTGGATGTACCTGCTAATAGAGACCGATCAATTCGGTCCAATCAACGACGGCATCATATCAAAACAATTATACTAAAAACTATACCCGTCGTACAACAAATGGTTATCGTGGCTTGGTGGTGTAGTGGATAACCGGCTGGCATTTGAAGAGACCGCTCGCGAGTCCGAGCCCCGGTGGAAACAACACCACTCATTGGTAAGCAGGTACGTCCGCCTGATGAGTCCCAAATAGGATGAAATGCGCGTCCTGGGTTCCACTGCTAGCCACGATCCATCATATTTGATTTTCTAACGTAATATTAGCGAAGGAAGGTGATTAACTTAAGTCAATCTTGTCTACAAATGTTTATCAAAACATTAGTGTAATAATGCTACAGGGAAACTTGGTTTCATAACCTGTATGACAAGATAGAAGCTTTCCCAAGAAGAAATATAATGGTAGTGTAGCAACATTTATTAATGCAACCTGGTCCTTCTTCAACCATGTGTACTTCAGCTTCTCAAACGAAAAAATTGAGTACATTACCATCAAATATCATCCTAAACATTTAAGAAAATACAAACATACACATATAACAAACATTTATATCACACCTAATTACAGTTTCTCAGATTTGTCAGCGCTTGCTGATGTATTCACTGGATTTGCTGCTGCAATTCTGGGTAACTCCTCGTCCACAGTCTGTGGAGATTTAACTCTTGTGACTACAGTTTTCTAGTGTCATTGGGTCATGAAAATATGACTAAATTTTCCACTCGTCTTGACAACACCCTAGACTTAGTATTTACAAATGAATCTGGCATGTATGAAACCCGTAAATGGGCTCCACTGCTAAATTCTCACCACTGTATTGTTCGTGTTTTGCCTAAAGTGTAGGGCAAATCACACAAAAAAGCTTTCGGATACCCTTCCAGAAAAGTTCAATACAGATGCTATTTACAAGAGTCTATATTACGTTTGAGAAGCATGCTTATAGAAACAGACTGGGATATAATTGCTGATTAGGTTTTAGACAACACTATCACCAACAGCATGAAGTATCTGACATTCCGTCTGGATATTCACTGCCCTGGTACATAAGACTCGACAGACTTTCCTCTCTTCATCTCAAGAGACTCCGGAGAGGAATGGAAAGGTTGTATAAGGTGAGAGACCATCCTGGCAATAAACGACTTAACTGTCTAATTAAGCCTGAAATACAACGTCTGAATAGTATTTACAACCAGAAGTTCTTATCGTGTAAGAACTCTTCCAATATATGGAAGTTATTCAAAGAACTTACTGGTAGAAAGCAGATGGCAAAAGAAGCTTATTTGGATCTCTGCACGTTAAACAAGTCATTCACACGTCGACAAGCTGATTTCACCCTCCCTAATATCCAAAGTCAAATCTATAGCTGCTTTATTGCGTTTAATACATGTGATGTATTCAAATGTCTTAAATCCTTGAATCCATCCTAAAGCTTAAATCCTGATGGTGTTCCCAGTATCATATTTAGAAAATCTGCAGATATTTTATGTCATCCTCTTACAGATGTCTTCAATGCATCTTTTACTAAAGGCATAATACCCACTACTTGGAAGGAGATCAAAGTTGTACCTATGCCTAAATAATCTTCCAAATCACATGTAACGTTTCGACTCATCGCAACAACTTCCCCTTTTCTGCAGACAATGCAGAAATCACTTCTCCTTGTGATTGAGCCTTCATTCATAGTTTTCAGAGATCCGAAACAGTTTGCTTACAAACACATGAGAAGTTCTTTAGATACCGTCACTCTCTTCCATCATCATCATCATGTTTTTATTCAAGACAGAGGTGTTAAGTATGTTCGTTGTGCCTTTTCGGATTACTCATCAGCCTTTAACTCTTTCCCTAGACAAGTCTTGTTAAATAAGCATGCCATAGCTCAGTATGAGCCTTGGGTTACAAAAAGGCTGTACTCTTATTCTTCTGAAATGAAACAGTACACTGTAAATAAAGGGAAGTGCTCCACTTCATTGCTTACTGAAGCTAGTGTGCCTCAGATTACTGTATTTTCTCAGTGTCTCTCTTCCCTCTTTTTGCACGATTTACATTATTCTGTTCAAACTAATTTTATTGAGTATCCTGATGACCTGACAGTGTCTATTCTAGTCAACTCCCACACAGATTTTTGTATAGAATTCTTGTCTGTAATTGACCAACAGTCTCTCTCAAATGGTCTCAAGTTAAACTCTTCTAAATATCAGACTGTTAATTTTAGCCTCAGGTGTAAACAAGACATGTGTTAGCTGCTGTAGTCCCATGGCTCCCCTCCCATTGATGGTATTTCCACTGAAAGTAAAGTGAGTGTTAACCATCTTGGATTGAGATTTACTTCTGATCTCTGTTGGTCGTCTTATATCTTGTTGACTTGTAAAGAAATCTTTCATTTAACGTATTACGTAATAAAACACAGGCTTTCTGGTATAACCCAACTCCTACTTTCAAAATTTATTTATACCTGCATTTTATCTTTTCCCCTTAATTGTTCCCTGTTGATCTTTATTGGTTTTCTAAGAAACTACTGTATTCCATTGTGTAGGACTTTGTAAGCCGTTAGTAGAGTAAGTGGTGTGCCACCGGCTCAACTGAATAACATTGTAGTCGACAGATATTTAAATTCTAGCAAGCAACTAGCTACAGTAATTTCAACTGACACTGAGCATCCACTTCATTCATACACATATCTGTTTTGTTGTTGCTACAATATACCATGTTGCGTATTCCAAATTGTACCACTAATTGTTTGGAATAATAATAATTATTATTTGTCCCTTGGGTTCCTAGTGGAACATAGGCATTCAGTAGCACGTCTCCATTCCACTCTGTTCTACGCAGTCTTTTCAGCTTGGCTCCATGACTCCACACAACCTCTCATTTCTTTCTCACACTATCTCCTCATCCATGTCACCCTCACCTCGGACACCCAACTCTCTGTTTCCCATCTCGGTTCCACTCGAGTGCCTGGCCTGGCCTGATGCATGATGTTCCCGAATAGTCTTCTCAATGTATGCCCATTACATCTCCACTTCCACACTCTTCAGCATATTTTTTGAGTGATAGGTTCTTGATTGGTTTGTTCCCAAAGTTCCTCCTTGCTTATTCTTTCCGGCCATCTGAGCTTCAATAACAAGCGTAGGTGGGAGCTATTGATGAATACCTGTAGTTTTTTTGGAAATGCTTTTCGTAACGCGCTAAGTCTCTAAACCATGTATCAGCACTGACTTGACTGGATTAGTGTTGGAAGTCCGGATCTTGTTTATGCTCTGTGCTAAGTGCAGTGCAGAAGATCTTCACACTGGTTTCAGGTTGTTTGCGTAATAATTATACTGTATAATTATTCGATTCAGTTTTTGTAAAGTTTGTTATTTTCTATTCTATTTCACCCCCCCCCCCCTATTCACAAAAAGCATCAATATTAACAATATGTATATTGATTGGATTTCAGGCAACCAAATAATCCATTATGCAAACGACGTGTAATACATACTGATGATAAAACTCCATGGTTAGCATATTGTGATGGAAGTTCTCAACAGCGTACTATAAAATTTTTAGATATTACCATCAAATCATTCCGTGAAAATGAATCAACCAAGCGTATTCGAAAGAAAAATGATAATAACAATCAGTTCAATTGTAAATCAGATTTCATGTAAGTAGTTAAAGTTACTTAGTTAGTTATTTGGTCAGTCAGTCAGTTAGTGACTGACTTTAGTAAATTGGAATGATGTATCACATATGGATTTCTTAATGAAAAGTTCACACACAATAATCGGTCTGACTATTTGAGATAGCTGACATGGTTTGACAGACTTGTATGATTGGTACTGCGTGATGATTGAAAGTGAAATGGAAATGTGGGCGACGACAGGGCTCGAACCAACAGCCTTCGGGTTCCAGGCCCAGTAATCTACCAAATGAGCTGTAAGATCAATCTGGCAATATTGGCAGTATATTGTCCACGGCCATTATAACAAATAGAATTTTTTATTCGCATAGTTACTGATGGATATCACTTTTGATATCGTCTCTATCTTGTGTCACAATATTGCATGTATTCTTGGTACAAATCACAAATATCTCAGGTGGGCCCTTTTTAGTTTACACTTCAACATTTAATTCTGTCCCAAAACCTCCCCACTCGGATAATATACACGGGAATCATACTGAGTCTTGCATAATCAGCTGGCTGCATTCCTATTCCTCTGGAAGGTAACAACATACTGTTCAAAGAGGAAGCGTCCCACCTCATTACTTACTGAGACTGGTGTTCCTCAAGGAGTCATCCTTTACCCCTGTATTTTCTCTTTCTTTCTGCATGACTTACCATCTTCAACTAGTATCGATTTTATTAAATATGCTGATGACCACATGATAGTTTGCATGCCCATCTCCTCTTCAACAGATCGTTCCCAAGTGAATGATTTTGTGTCTAGTGTTAGACGATGGTCCTGGGAGAATGGTCTTATGCTTAATTCCCTAAAATGTCAGACAATAAACTGTAGTTCTAGATGTGAACGTCACCTATGTGAAGTGCTTGGTTGTCGTGATTCTTGTTCTATTGACAATGGTGTAATGGAGAATGTAAGAAGTGTGATTTATTTCTGTGTGTTTTTCTCCAGACCATTCCTGATCATCTCATATCTTACTAATTGCCAAGAGAATCTTCCACCCAACTGAATATATTAGGAAGCTGAAAGTATCTGGAATAACATATCGTCTTCTCATGTGTTTACCTATTCTCCTTTGTTGTTGCCTTTGATTGTTTCCTGGGTTGGTGAAGAAGGACAATGTTGAGAATGTTGAGAAGAACTGTGAAGATTATGAGTGGAAGTAATGGTGTACTTGTGAACCTAGTAGTTAAGAGTAGTTGTGAGCAAACATCTTAACTCAGGTAAATACTTGCTTGACAGGAGTTATTTTATGAGATGAACAGTAGAATCTTTTTCACTTGAAGTTGTCTAGTTGTCGGTTATCTGGAAAGACAAGAAGCAAGTATATGTGAATTTATGTACATACTACTACAGATATAATATCTGTACAATACTGTATTTAGCTTGTATCCTTTGCAAGGAAGAGGGTGTTGGAGATGAACTAACTAATCAACTTATGTTCTTGAAAGCAAACTAATTGATGATGAGCATGTTACTACTTACGTGTTATGAGCGTAATTGCTTATTTAGTTGTTTACGTAAGTTAATTCTGTATTTTCAAGAAAGTTGTAGATGGAATGGATATTCCCTTTTTTTTTAATGTAATGTTTACTTATTTCATTTTGCTATGCATACATATACACTGTCTCTGTCCAACTGATGCTACATGACATCGCTGAAAGTTCTGTAGAGTATTCCATAAATAGCTTTCAGAACAAAGCCATTATTATTATTATATTATTATTGTTATATATTCTTTTCTGATCTTTCGTTAGTCTATTGGTTATCGTCGATCTTTAGTAACGACAGGATTCACCCCTCCATATTAGCATTAGCTTTATTCTATCCAGTTTAATGTGAGTGAACTTCCTCACCCAAGAAAAATTGTCATAAAGCAGACAATTGCAGGGTCCATTATGAGTTAACAACCACAGAGTTACTGTCCAGAAAGCTTCTAAAAACTTGACTAGCACGAAAGCCAGATAAGAGTATTTCAAGGATATTCTGTAAAATATATATTGAAAACAAACAGAACTGACTTTATGGTCACTATATCATCTATTCACTAGCGTCCACTACCCTTAAATCAAACATACTTTATGCAGGCTCTTCTGTCACCTGGCAAATGGGAATCTCGGACATCCTAGTATGTAGACACAAGCCTTTTAGAGAGGACAAAACTTAAATGTTCAAGTCTGATGGAATTCTTCGATCTTTGTCTGACAACATTCTTTCAATTCAACGGCAAGATATAAAAACAGATGAAAGGAACTCAAATAGGATCACTGGTTGCCGAACTAATTGCAGAAGCAATGAGGGTGTTAGAGATGAACTAACTTGTCAACTTTTGCTTTTGAAAGTGAACTAATTGAGGATTAAGTTGTTATTCATCATAGAGTGACATCAGTTGGAGGAACAATGGGAACCTGGGAGCACTGGACAGCTGTTTCGTCCTAGCATGGGGCTCCTCAGCATTGTGCATCCACGACCCCGCCAATGAACGAACCCCTCGACCTTCAGGTCCCATGGCCATCACGTTACCGTTGAGCCACTAGGTCAGAATCCAATGGTCCATATTTCCAACTTCTGTTAGCTCACGATATAGTGCAACCACCACCCAATGTCAACGTTGAGTAACTAGGAGGAAATAGCTGTCCAGTGCTCCCAGGTTTCCTTTGTTCCTCCAAATGATGTCAGTCTGTGATGAATAACAACTTAAAATATTTCCAAATCCTCACAACTCCCTCAAAATTTAATTGAGGATAACACAACTTGGTGTCATTTAAGTAGTATGAATCTAATTACTAATCTGACTGTCTACTGAAGTTAACTGTGGATTTTGAAGAATGTTGTAGATGAAGTAAATATTCTTATCTTTTATGCATGTAATTCCTACTTATCTCATTTTATTATTTATGAAAATGATTCGTCGAAAAAGGAATTTTCTTCACTGATTTTTCTTTTATTGATAATCACCGAATGTGCGGAAATACTACACCATCTATTCACTAACAAGTTTGACAAATTGTTTTCAGGAAACAATATACCACCTACTTGAAAAGGTTTTAGGGTAGTTCCAGTACCTGAATTGGTGACTTCAGGTGTGTTATTCATCGTGGACTGACATCATTTGGAGAAGTAAAAGAAACTTGGGGACACTGGACAGCCGTTTCGTCCTAGTATGGGACTCTTCAGCAGTACGCACCCACGACCCCCAAGGGATCGGATCCGTGACCTTCAGGTTGCGCTATATCTTGAGCTAACAGGAGTTGGAAATATGGACCATTGGATTCTGACCCAGTGGCTCAACGGTAACGTGATGGCCACGGAAGGTGGAAGTCGCGGGTTCGATCATTGGCGGGGTCGTGGGTGCGTACTGCTGAAGAGTGCCATACTAGGACGAAACAGCTATCCAGTGCTCACAGGTTTCCATCGTTCTTCCGACTGATGTCAGTCTACGCTGAATAACAACTTGAAATATTTCCAAATCTCCACAACTCCCTCAAAATTCAGGTGTGTGTTTGAAATTTCTTGCGATTTCAGTTGCTTTTCCGTCCTTCAAAATAATGGAGAAGCTAATAATACCTGTGCTTCAACCCTCACTGAAGGTTTTCGGAGAACCTAATCAATTCTCATACAAAAACAAAGAAGTTCCCTGTATGCTACTACTATCTTATATGACAATGTTGCTTATAATCTTGATGGAAATGACAAGTATGTGAGGTGGGAGTTTTTCGGCTATACTTCAGCATCTGAATCTGTCCCAAAGTTTCTTTTGCTGGAGAAACTAGATAGGAGACATACTGACTCCTGAATAATCAACTGGGTCCATCCCTGTTTTTCTAAAAGGAATCAATATATTAGTCGTAGACAGGAGCGCTCCACTTCATTATTTGCTGAGGCTGGTATTCCCCAAGACATCATTCTTTTCACCTTTCATCTCTTTTTCTTTCTAGATGGACTGACCATCTTCAGCTAGTGTCAATTTTACAAGTTATACTGATAATCTGATACTTTCCTCACCTGCCTTCTCTTCATAAGATATTTCTCAACATAAATTATATCTCATCTACTACTGGATGACAGTCTCCAATAAATGCTGTTGTGCCTAATTCTTCAAACTGTCAGATTATCATTGCACTTTCGAACGTGAACATAACCTGTTTCATGATACCTGCCCTATTGATGGCTGTGTATTGGAGAATCTAAAAGGTGTAATCTCTTTAGGTGTTTGTTTCTTCCAACCTTTCTTGTTCTTCTCATATCTTACTAATTCCTAGGAGAATCTACTGTCTAACTTAGTATATTAGGAAGCTGAAAGTATCTAGTATAACATAGCCTCTTCTCATGTGTTCGTCTGTTCTTTTCTGTTGCCCCTCATTTTATTCTTTCCTTGATTGCTGGAGAAAGAAAATGCTGTATCGTGAAGAACTTTGAAGATTATCAGCAGAACTAGTGGTTCACTTGTAAACCTTTTAATGAAATGTGTTGTGGACAAATATCTGACAGGAGTTGTTTTATCAGATGACCAGCATCCTTTTCATTCGAAGCTTTCTGTGTTTTGGTCTTCTGCCAAGACCAGGAGCAAGTATGTAAGACTTTATGTACGTAAGACTAAATATACAAACTCTACACTACCGTAGTTAGATCATCTCCCGTGAGAGCAAACTAATTGAGGATTAGACAACTTGGTGTCATTTAAGTAGTATGAATCTAATTACTAATCTGACTGTCTACTGAAGTTAACTGTGGATTTTGAAGAATGTTGTAGATGAAGTAAATATTCTTATCTTTTATGCATGTAATTCCTACTTACTTCATTTTGCTGTCTATACATGTACACTGTCTCTGTTCCGTTGAGAGTATATGGCATCTGCGACAAGATATTAGACACATCAAGAATGCCCTACGTCTCAATAATTACCCACCAAAATTCATAAATAAATTCATAAGAAATCGAAAGGAAAATATTAGCGGTAGTAGAAGTAGTAGTAGTAATAGTAGTAGCAGTAGTAGTAGTAATACAGGTGTTATTAATAATAATCTCACTACTAGTGGTAATAGTGGTGACAGGGTTAAGAGAGAATTCAGTGTCTCTGCTGTGTTGCCATACAAGGAAGGCACCTCAGAAGCATTACGAAGAATTCTCAATAAGTCTGGCTACCATTAAAGTGGCATTCAAACCAACAAACTCACTTAGAAACAAGCTTTGTAGGTTAGAAGATCCTAGTGATGCCCTTCAAAAGAATAATCTCACTCACCAGATCCCTTAGAATGATTGTGAGATCAAGTACATAGGTGAAAGCAGTTGACTATCCAGGGTGGATTAGAATAACAGAGCACAAAAGCTTAGCTAAATCAAGATTAGTAGATGGTAATAAGATGATAAATTTAGATAACAGTTCGTCCATAGCTCTGCATGCGAGGACACAAGCACCCAGTAGGATGGGATAGGGTGATGGTGTTGAAAACTAACTTAGTTGGTTAGTTGGAGGGAGAGATTGATGATGACCAAATCTTTGTTCACCGAAGCAATACCAAATAGATGCAGTAACAGGTATGATTGTGCACCTGTTCCAGATGTATGGGAAATTCTACTACGGGTTGTCATCGGAGAGAAGGGGAGAAAATGAGGAATATGTGAAGACTGTCTCGAAGTAGTGGAGTTAGTTGCCTGATATGAATATGGACAATAAATTGTGTTTGGAATGTTGTTATCCAGTCAATGCTATTGTTCCTTCACTGTGTGTGATGTTTCTAATAAACAGATTAAAATGGAATTACAATCGACCACAGTGTCCAAGTTTTACTCTCATACTATAAGACATACTGAAAATTCAGAACAGTCTGCTGGTAGGAGAGACTTGACAACATTGTATCAAATAACCAGGTTACTATGTGGGAGGGTAGCGATCAACAGAGACGAAAACCAGTAAAAGATGATGAAGGGAACCCAATTACCAAAGAGGAGAAACAAAGGAAGTGATGGGTTGACCACTTCAAAAACCTCTCGAATCGACCACCACCACCACCACCACCACCACCTGCACTTTGTTCAGAAATACCACCTACAGCCACAGAACTACAAGTGAACGTAGGCCCTCCGACAAAGTCAAAGTCCTGAACGCCATAGAGCTACTGAAATGCGAGGAAGCAGCAGGACCAGATGGACTCCCGCCAGAAGCACTGAGAACAGACGCAGAGACAACAGCGGACATGCTGACACCACTATTGCAGAAGGTCTGGATGGAAAGGAAGGTACCTGCCGACTGACTGGAAGCAGGGCTACCTTGTCAAACTCCTGAAGAAGGGCGACCTAAGTCTTTGCAAGAACTGGCGCGGAATCACGCTCTTGTCCACTCCAAGCAAAATATTAAGCCGCATCATCCTGGAGAGACTAAAGGAAGCGCTGGATACAAATTACGACCGGAATAGGCTGGCTGGCTGGTTGGCTGGCTGGATTCAGGAAGTAAAAATCATGTGCGGATAAAATTGTAACGCTATACTACGCATCATAATAGAACAGAGTATAGAATGGCAGTCAACTCAACTCTACCTCAACTTCATCGACTTTGAAAAATGCCTTGGACAGTGTCGACAGAGAAGTAATTTGACAGGTAGCTCCTTCAACACTACGGAATACCACAAACCTTTACCAACCTCATTCAACAACTATGTGAGGACACCACATCCCAACTAATTCACAATGGGAAGGTCAGTGATGCTTTTGAAGTGAAGAGAAGAGTAAGGCAATGCTGCCGTCTACTATCACCCATGATCTTCCTGATTGTGGTGGACTGGATCATGCAACAAACAGTGGGGAGCGAGAAGAGGGGAATACGTTGGCTGGACCGCGGAAAAGAACCTAGAAGATTTGGATTTCGCCGATGACTTGTGCCTGATGTCACATAAACTTGAAGATCTACAAGCGAAAACTAACAAGTTGACGGAAGAGGCAGGGCAGGGTAGGGTATGGCAGGGCAGCGAAGACGGGACTTCAAGTTGACGTATAGAAGACAGAGATGATGAAGATACCCAACCAACAACAACAGCAACAACAAGCTACAATCACCATCAACGGGAGAAACCTTAAGGAAGTAGCCTCTTTCACCTATCTAGGCAGCACTGTTTCAACTACAGGCGGCACAGGCACAGACGAGGACGTCAAAGTCAGCCATGATTGCAAAAGCAAGACAGGCTTTCATTAACCTGAAACCAGTTTGGAGATCTTCTGCACTCAGCATAAAGGAGAAGATTGGGATTTTCAACAGTAATATCAGGTCAGTGCTTCTGTATGATGGTTCGGAGACTTAGTCCGTTACGAAAGGGATTTTCAACAAACTACGGATATTCATCAACAGCTCCCACCTACGCTTATTACCAACCAAGAACCTATCACTCAACAAATATGCTGAAGAGTGTGGAAGTGGAGATGGATTGGGCATACATTGAGAAGACTATTCGGGAACATCATGCATCAGGCCAGGCCAGGCACTCGAGTGGAACCGAGATGGGAAACAGAGAGTTGGGTATCTGAGGTGAGGGTGACATGGATGAGGAGATAGTGTGAGGAAGAAATGAGAGGTTGTGTGGAGTCATGGAGCCAAGCTGAAAAGACTGCGTAGATCAGAGTGGAATGGAGACGTGCTACTGAATGCCTATGTTCCACTAGGAACCCAAGGGATAAATAGTAATAATAATAATATGATACAGTACCCAAGTTTTACTTTTACACTATATGATATATTGAAAATTCTGTAGAATAGAATTTTCTTAAAATACTTCATATTATTATTGATGTGTATTTCTTTCAGGGCACATCTTAATCGTGTTTGGTTAACTGGACACGCTGGAAGTGTACGTACATTATGGTTAGATACACAATTACAATTACTTCTATCAGGTAGTTATGATACAAGTATACGTTTATGGAATTTATCTGAAGATAAACAAGAAGAAAATTTTAATTCATATATTAATAATATATCACAAAAGATGAATTCAGTGAGTTTTAGAAATAGTCAATCAAAGTGTATTAGAATTTATCATGGTCATACAGATACTGTATTATGTATTTGGTTAGATCAAAGTAAATTATGGCCAAAAATAAATAATACTAAACGGATAAAACTATCATCATCATCATCATCATCATCATCATTTTATCATCCAATTGATTACAATCAGAAAAGTAATAATCATAATAATCAAAGTAACAATACTAAGAAGTCTGATTTTCAAGCTACATATCAATTTGCAAGTGGTTCAGTTGATTGTACATGTTGTGGTAAGTTGGTTTGCTTTTCTTTTTTCTTTTTTTTTTCAAGAAGTTTCCTAGCGGAACATAACAACACATTTCTATGCTTTTTTGTTGAAATATGAACATTCTAATGATAGATAGTGATTAAGATATGTTGTGTATACACCAAAAACCAACACTTAATATTGGATATACAGATGAGAATGTCGAAGTTAGAATCGGAAAAGCAAGACAGGCTTTCATTAACCTGAAACCAGTTTGGAGATCTACTACACTCAGCATGTGGAACAAGATGTGGATTTTCAACACCAACGTCAAGTCAGTGCTTCTGTATGGCTCACAGACTTGGCGAGTCACGAAAGGCATTTCCAACAAACTACAGATATTCATCAACAAATGCCTACTCTGGTTCGTTACTGAAGATCAGGTGAGAAGGCCAGAAAGAATAAGCAACAAGGAATTCTGGCTGGCCTACGAACCAAACAAGAACCTGTTGCTCAACAAATATGCAGAAGAGTGTGGAAGTGGAGATGGATTGGGCATGTGTTGAGAAAGCCGATTGGGGACATCATGCGTGAGGCCAGGCACTCGAGTGGAACCCCGATGGGAAGCGACGAGTTGGGCGTGTGAGGTGAGGGTGACATGGAGGAGATGGTGTGAGGAGGAAATGAGAGTTTGTGGGCTGTCGTGGAGCCAGGTTCAAAAGATTTCAGAGAACAGAGCTCATTGGAGACATGCTGGTGAATCCCCATGTTCCACTAGGAACCCAAATAATAATAATAATTATTATTATTATAACTGTAAATTAGAACAAGACATATATAAGTGAACAATATTGTTTTCAATTAGATCCTCTTCACGCTTTACTCTAATACAAATAGCTTAACAATATATAAAACGTAAACCAATCATGTAGATTTGTCGGTTGATATGATAAATGGGGATGTGGCTGGAGAAGTTTCATATCAGAGACTCTCTATAGCCATTAAAAGGACCTTCTACGCCACATGACTTTGTCTATCATTTTCCAGTTGACCAATTGTTACTGTTCAGACGAAAGATAAGTTATCTAGTTTTGCCATTTCAATATGTATTCACAAGTTTAGCTTCTCCTGTAGAGAAAGTTATATTGGGTGTACTACCAGATAACTTAACCGACGTGTTGCTGAGCATCCACCTTTATGGTTGCGAAAGGGACAGATAAAATCCATCAGAAGTTCATTTTCATCTCACCTCAATGATAATGGTCACTGGATGAATAAGATCATTGCTTTCACGATTACACACCGCATACCATCTCATCCTTCGAAAGGTATTCAAACTCGTTTTTTACACATAGAAGAAGCTGTGGGAATTCGGGCTAATAATCCTAGCTTTTGTATTCAGAAGAAGTTTTTACATCCCTTATCTCTTCCTTGGCCAGGGATTACTTAGTTAGCAATTTTATCACTCAGTTTTCCTCATGATTATTTCTTCTACCTCTTTCGTATACCTACTGTAATTGTCTAGGCTTTGTTTATCCACTTACCTCGCCCTTCATTATTACGTAACTTTTATTTTCACAAGCTTTTGACCCATTTTGATTATTGGAGTGCCTACATTCTTGGTTGTATTGTGTTCTATGAGCTAAGTTGTTTAGTCGTGAAGCTCTCATCGTCTTGCTAGACGGCATCATCAGCACTAACTTCAGTATGAAGTCAGCTACCTGTCAATATCTCTCCATTAGTCAGTGATTTAGTAGCTTGCCTTGACGAAGTGGTCTGTGATTGATTGCTTCCTTTAAATAAGGTACCCTATTGGTTTGCCATATCATCCTGGAGAGAATAAAATATCCTCTGTATTCAAAATTACGACCGGAACAGGCTGGCTGGTTGGCTGGCTGGATTCAGGAAGTAAAAATCATGTGCGGATAAAATTGTAACGCTATACTACGCATCATAATAGAACAGAGTATAGAATGGCAGTCAACTCAACTCTACCTCAACTTCATCGACTTTGGAAAAGGCCTTGGACAGCATCGACGGAGAAGTAATTTGACAGGTAGTTCCTTCAACACTACGGAATACCATAAACCTTTATCAATCTCATTCAACAACTATATGACGACGTTAGATGCCAATTGATTGAAAATGGAGAGCTCAGTGACGCCTTTGAAGTGAAGACAAGAGTAAGACAAGGTTGCCACTTGATATTACCGATGACCTTCCTGATTCTGTTCCAATGGATCATACAAGAAACTGTGACGAGCGAGAAGATGGGCATATGCTGAATCGACCAATGAAAACATCCTAGAAAATTAAGATTTCGCCAACTATGATGATTTGTGTCTGATGTCTTATGTCGCACAAAGGTGAAGATCTACAGATGAAACTAACAAGTTGACAGAAGAGACAGGGCAGGGCAGGGCAGCGAAGACGGTACTTCAAGTGAATGTAGAGAAGACAGAGGTGGTGAGGATACCCAACGAACAACGGCTACAACAAGCACCAATCACGACTAACGGGAGAAACCTAAAGGAAGTAGTCTCTTTCACCTACCTACGCAGCATCGTTTCAACTACAGACAGTACAGACATAGAATACGATATCATAGCCAACCAGGATAGAAAAGACAGCAAGACAGGCCTTCCTGCATCAACCTGAAAAAATCAGTGTGGAGACCTACTGCACTGCACTCCATTGCACTCAGCATAAAGCGTGAACAACATTCGGGTTTTCAACATCAATGTTAAATCAGTGCTGCTATATGGTTCAGAAACTTGGCACTTCACAAAAATCACTTCCAACAAACTGCAAACATTCATCAACACCTGCCTACACTCGATACTGAAGATCAGATGGCTAGAAAGAATAACCAACAGGGAACTGTGGAAACGAACCAATCAAGAACCTACCACTCAACAAATATGCACAAGGAAGTGGAGATGGATTGGATTGGGCATACGCTGAGAAGGTCTACTGGGGACATCACGCACTAGGCCGTCGAGTGGAATCCAAAGGAGAAACAGGGAGTTGGGCATCCAAGACGAGAGTGATATGGAGGAGATGGTGTGAGGAAGAAATGAGAGCTTGTGGACGGTGGTGGAGCCATGTTGAAAGAGCAGACTGCAGAGCAGAGAGTACAATGAAGGCGTACCACTGAATCCCTATGTTCCACTAGGAACCCAAGGGAAAAATAATAAAAAAGTAAATCTTAACAATTAATATAAGTGAAAAACTTGGGCACTGTGGTAGAATGTAATTCCATATTAGATTTGTTTATTTGATATAAAGCGCACAGTGATACAGTATTATTTACTTGATTACGTTTCGAGCATAAATTATTGCTCATAATCATATCAATGTAATCACACTTCTTTCGACATCTGATTTTATAGTCCTGTCACCTGATCTCTCTTTGTTTTTTGATTGGTAGTAAAGTTTTCCATATCTCTGGTATAGGTGTTGCGTCATTCCTATTACATGTGTTGGTGTTGATTCGATGAACAAAGATTCAGTAATTAATCTCTCTCTCCACCTAGCTATATTAGACTTAAGTACAGTGGTTTTGTCCCATCCTATTGTGTGGTTGTGTGTTAATGAATGTAATGCAATGGCTGAGTGTTTTTCTAGGTTATTGATCTTATTGGGGTCTGCCGTTCTATGTTTAGCTAAATTCCTATGTTCTGTTAATCTAACTGACCCCGACCGGCTAGTTTGACCTATGTATTTGACTTCACAGTCATTACATGGAATTTGGTAGATTATATTATTTTGCTTAATTGGTTCTATCGGATCTTTTAGCCGACAAAGCTTACCTCTAAGTGAGTTTGTTGGTTTAAATGCCACCCTAATTCCAACCTTGTTGAGAATCCTACGTATGGTTTCTGATGTTCCTTCCTTGTATGGTATCACAATAGAGGTGCTGATTTCCTTTCTACTTATGTTGTCACTATTATTTGTATTTGTATTAGTGTTATTATTTTGCTTCTTATGCGTCCGTGTGAATTTCTTAATAAAATGATGGGGATAATTATTAGTTATTAACGCTTCTTTTATGTGTTTCAATTCCTTATTTAAGTCCTTACAATGACTAGTGAGTTTCTCAGCTCTGTTATTTAGACATTTGACTAAACCCGCTTTAACTGACACTGGATGAGATGACTTGAAGTCTAGATACCTGTTAGAATGTGTTGGTTTTCTGTAGACGGTAGTATCTAAACCACCATCTATCCTTCGTTTTATTCTGCAATCCAACATAGGTAATTCTCCTTGTTCATTTTCTACTTCGTAAGTGAATTGGATTGCGTTAACTACTGAGTTTATGTGTGTCAAGAAACTGTCGATATGTTCCGATTTCAACACTGTAAATGTGTCATCTACATATCGCCACCATATCTTAGGTGTCGGATTATATGTTCGTAAAGCCATATCTTCCCAACTATCCATAAATATATCTGCTACTATAGGGGATATTGGTGATCCCATTGCTACTCCTTCTGTTTGTCTATAAATCTTTCCCTGAAACTTGAAGACTGTCGAGGTTAAGCATAACTGCACTCCTAACATGATTTCACCAACCGATGCCTTGGTTCTTTGAGTAAGTTGTGAGTCAGTATCTAGTTGATTTCTGACTGCCTCCAGTGCCATATTGATTGGTATTTTAGTATAAAGACTTGTTACGTCAAAACTAACCATTTTTTCATCCTCTTCTATGTGCAGGTCATTAAGTTTTTGTTTCAACTCGTAAGAATTTACTAGTCTAGAGTTGGAACGGTCTCTAACAGGACGTAATACTGATGCTAAATACTTTGATATCTCATATGTTGGTGTGTTCCGGAAGTCAACTATCGGCCTAATGGGATAACCTGCTTTATGAACCTTAATAGTACCGTAAATTCTTAACAACCAGAATTCTTTCCAGTTCATTACTGTTTTTCTGATTCTTGAAATTCTTTGTTCAAGTGTAATTTCTTGGTGTTAACCTACTGGTTAGGCAATGAAAAGAGACCGAATTCAACAAATAATCCTTCTCATTTGTGTAACCATTTCACTTGTACATTCAAGTGAGCAAGAGTAGCCTACCCCATCGGTTAAGTAAAGCCTTCTAACCAACATTTTATGCTTGATATTGTTTATAATATAAAAGAATAATTTAATCTGTAAAAATGGACAAATTTTTACTTTAAATTTCATAATATTCATCAGTGTGGAGATTAGATGAGCGTAAACCACTATGGACTATGAAACATGCAACTGCAGTTACAGCAGTTGGTCTGCGAGGATTTATTTGCACAGCTGGTGAACGTAATGGACGTGTAAATGTATGGCGAATTGGATGTAAAAAACCAACACTGTTAAAGGTATGCATAGAAGAAAATTGATTGTACTAATCATCTATTGTGTATAATTTTTTATGATTTGTGAGTGGTTAGTAATGAAATGATCTCCGTGTTATTGGCCCCAGAGTCTACCAACTGCTATATGAAATTCAGCTTCTAAAGTTATCTTAACTTCAACTCCTTCAAGACAAGGCTTATCTTATCATATTGGCCTTATTATTAATTTGTTGGTTTTTCTGATAAACAGATGCTCTTCCCGAGAAGTTTAAGAGATACAAGGATAAATCATTTCGCCAATGATGATGATTTGTATCTAATGTCTTATGTTACACAAACTCGAAGATCTACAGACGAAAACTAACAAGTTGACAGAAGAGGAGAGGCAAAGCAGCGAACAGGTGACTTCCTTCAGGTGAACGCAGAGAAGACAGAAGTAGATGTGATGAAGATACTCAACGGTCAACACTACCACCACCAACAGCAAAACCAACAACATGCACCAATCACCATGAACGTAAGAAATCTGAACGAAGTTGTCTCATCCTACCTACCTACGTATCTACCTACCTACCTACTTACCTACCTACCTACCTACCTACCTACCTACCTACCTACCCACCTACCTACCTACCTACCTGCCTACCTACCTACCTACCTACCTACCTACCTACCTAGCCATGCAACATCCTATCAACTACAGGTGGCACAGGCTCACATGAAGACGCCAAAGCCAGTCAGAATCGGAAAGATACCAACACAAGCCTTCCTGCATTAACCGAAAATAATCAGTGTGGAGATCTATTCCACTGCATTGCACTGCACTGCACTGCACTATACTCAGCATAAAGTGTGAACAATATCCTGATTTTCAACACTGATTCAGTCAAGTGAGTCAGTGCTTCCATGTGATGGTTGAGAGACTTGGTGCATAATGCGAAAAGCATTTCCAACAAACTACACATATACATCACATGAACAGCTATTGTCTACGCTCACTCGATACTGACACTGAAGATCAGATCAGATGAGGTGAGGTGAGATGAGATGAGACGGCTACAATAATGAGAATAAGCAAGAAGGAACTGTGGCTGTCTGGCTGACTGACTGACTGACTCACTGACTGATTGACTGGCCTCGCAACCAACCAACCAACCAACCAAGAACCCATCCACCAACAGGTGAGCAGAAGGAGAAAGTGGAGATAGATTGGATGGGCTACTCGTTGAGATGACGGTTTGGGGACATCACGCGTCACACCAGGTTATGTCAGACCGTGTCAGGTCAAGTCGTCGAGTGGAAGTGAAACAGGAAAGGCTAAGTTGGGTGTCCGAGTCGAGAGTGACATGGAGGAGATGGTGTGAGGGAGAAATGAAAGTTTGTGGGGAGTGGTGTAGTCAGGTTGAAAGAGAATAGTGTAGAGGAGAGAGTGAAATGGTGGAGTGCAACTGAATTCCTATGTCCTACTAAGAACTCAAAAGACAAATAATAATTATCAACCTCAAAAATGAATAACTGTTAAACTGCGAAGAACGTAAACTATGTCTTCATACCTTTGAAGAGAGGAAGAAGGACTAGAATTGTCACGCAAATTGATGCCAATTTATTTATACTGGTTAATGACTGAGGATGAAATGATGATTTGGACAGCGGCCGAATTCGAACCAGCTACCATCATGTTTCTGGCCATATGCTCTACCAACTGAGCTAAGATGCTCTACTCCTCACCAGGCTTCTTTTCACTTCAATTACAAGGTGGGGTTACTATTTCTTGTTCGTATTCACACTGTCTAGTCAGCAATTTTTCATCCGAATGCAAATCTTACTGAATTAAAGAGGTGGGGCAGGATCATATCGATTATCATTTGACTATTTGAGATCACATATATACATGTATCATATCGATTACTTGTATATACACCATTCGTGTTTATTATTACTATTTAGTGATAAAAGGTGGATGAAATGTTAAGGAATGTGGGGAAAAATGGGAGTCGGAGAAAGCATAAAACCACTTGAAGTAGAGAATCAGTCATTCCCTTACTTATCTGTCAATATAAATATACTTTCATGTATTTTACTATATTTTAATTTTTGTCTTAGTGGCAATAAGCTTTCTTTTTGGATATAATTTATTTAAGCGGTGGTTAAAGATGTAAATAATGAGAGTGATATCGAGTTCATAGATTTCTTCATAAGTAGTATATGGTATACTCTCATCTGGTTTGTTGTGTTTACTTCTTCTTCGTCTTTTTCGTGTTCTGCTGTTTCCTTCCTCTTCTTCTTCTTCATTATCGTCAACCATTGACAGATTTATGCATCAGTATATTTTTTCATTTCATTTTCAACTTTTGTCTACTTGTAATTGTTTATTAATAATTTTCATTTGACTATCTGAGATGGAAGTCATGATTTGGCAGACTAGTCTTATTGATATTGGATGATGATTGAAGGTGAGAAGAAAATTTGAACTGTGACCGGATTCAAACCAGCAACCCCTAGGTTTCTGCCTCAGTGCTCTACCAACTGAGCTACAGTATCCGACTGTTCACTAGATTTCTATTTCACTTCGATGTCAAGGTGGAGTTTTGCTCGACTACCATGTGAATTCGTAAAGCGTTACTGCCATTTGATCGTACTTACACTGGCTTCTACCCAGTCAGGACTTCTTATCTCAATCGAAATCTAAGTGAATTAGAGAGTTAAGGAGAATCATATTGATAATCTGAGATAGCAACAATAGTTTGGCAGACTAGTCTTATTGATATTGGGTGATGATTGAAGGTGAAAAGAAAATTTGAACTGTGACCGGATTCGAACTGGCGACCGTTGGGTTTCTGGCCCAGTTTATTTCACAATTGTTCATCAGCTGGACACGACCTGAAATTATAACAATGAGGCCAATTACTCCATGATTCGATTGAAGAAAAGCTGCTCTATATGGCAAACTAACAGAAATAGGCATAGGCAGACAATTGGGTTTCGACCCAGTGGCTCAATGCAAGCATGCTTGCTGCGGAACCTGTAGGTTCTGGGTTCGGTCGCTGACAGAATCATATATTAGGATGGAACAGCTGTTTAGGGCCTCCAGATTTTCATTTGTCCTTCAAACAGTTTCAGTCATTGGTGAATACCACCTTCTTCACCTCTTTTAAACCGAATCCATCTAATCCAATAAACGGTTACCGTAACTATAATTATCATTACTGTCATTTCTAGCTCCTATAATGAGAATCGTATTTTTCAAGTATTAGATATATCAATGCATAGCTAGAAAATAAATCCATTAAAAGAGGTGCTTTTGCTAGATTTTTACATTCTATGTCATAATCAATCCCGTAGTTCAGTTGATAGAGTGTCCAACAGGGAATCTGGAAGTAGCCTGCTAGAATGCTACCGCGGTCTGAATGTTCATTTCACCTTTAGTTGTCATCTTAGAATAATCCTAATACTTGGTTTGACTTCTGGCTGGTTGTAGCTGATGAGAAGCCATGAAGTAAAACTGAATCCCCTGCGTACCCTCCTCTCCACTATTCTCTTTCAACCTGACTACACCACTCCCCACAAACTTTCATTTCTCCCTCACACCATCTCCTCCATGTCACTCTCGACTCGGACACCCAACTTAGCCTTTCCTGTTTCACTTCCACTCGACGACTTGACCTGACACGGTCTGACATAACCTGGTGTGACGCGTGATGTCCCCAAACCGTCATCTCAACGAGTAGCCCATCCAATCTATCTCCACTTTCTCCTTCTGCTCACCTGTTGGTGGATGGGTTCTTGGTTGGTTGGTTGCGAGGCCAGTCAATCAGTCAGTGAGTCAGTCAGTCAGTCAGCCAGACAGCCACAGTTCCTTCTTGCTTATTCTCATTATTGTAGCCGTCTCATCTCATCTCACCTCACCTCATCTGATCTGATCTTCAGTGTCAGTATCGAGTGAGCGTAGACAATAGCTGTTCATGTGATGTATATGTGTAGTTTGTTGGAAATGCTTTTCGCATTATGCACCAAGTCTCTCAACCATCACATGGAAGCACTGACTCACTTGACTGAATCAGTGTTGAAAATCAGGATATTGTTCACACTTTATGCTGAGTATAGTGCAGTGCAGTGCAGTGCAATGCAGTGGAATAGATCTCCACACTGATTATTTTCGGTTAATGCAGGAAGGCTTGTGTTGGTATCTTTCCGATTCTGACTGGCTTTGGCGTCTTCATGTGAGCCTGTGCCACCTGTAGTTGATAGGATGTTGCATGGCTAGGTAGGTAGGTAGGTAGGTAGGTAGGTAGGTGGGTGAATGAGACAACTTCGTTCAGATTTATTCCGTTCGTGGTGATTGGTGCATATTGTTGGTGGTGGTGACAGTGGTGTTGGTCTTTGGGTATCTTCATCACATCTACTTCTGTCTTCTCTGCGTTCGCCTGAAGGAAGTCACGTGTTCGCTGCTTTGCCTCTCCTCTTCTGTCAACTTGTTAGTTTTCGTCTGTAGATCTTCGAGTTTGTGTGACATAAGACATTAGATACAAATCATCATAGTTGGCGAAATCCTAATTTTCTGGGATGTTTTCATTGGTCGATTCAGCGTATGCCCATCTTCTCGCTCGTCACAGTTTCTTGTATGATCCAGTGGAACGGAATCAGGAAGATCATGGGTAATATCAAGCGGCAATCTTGTCTTACTCTTGTCTTCACCTCAAGGGTATCATTTAGCTTTCTATTGGTAATCACTTGGTATGTAGGGTCATGTACCATATAGTTGCTGTTGAATGAGGTTGATAAACGCAATTGACAATTTATGACGCAAATATCCGATGTGCATGCAACTAATCTCTTCGGATTATTCATTATATTTTATCTAAAGTTCACAAAAATGTTTATAGCCTACGTTTCTCATCGGCAGTAAGAGGATATTTATAATGATAGATATCACTTGACTGGACGGAATCTTCAGGAAGCCCTGTTAGTGTGTTGTTTGACGACGCTCACCAGCATGGGTTATCTGTAACCTCAACATTATGGAC